TAACTAAGCACATGTTGTGTACCTTATTGTAAAGTGTTACCTAAAATATACTTAAAGTACAAAAAGTACTCATTCTGTAAAATGGCCCATTTCAGAATAACATAAAGTACAACATTATTATTAGCTAAATGTATACTTTAAAATAAAAAATAAAAATAAAATCACTTGTTATACAGAATGGTTCTTTCACATTATTATATTATTATGGTTATCATATTATCCTGTTTTTATACTAAGAGCATTTTAATATTTTAGCTTTTCAATGTTTACCAAATAGAGAAATGTGAAATACTGTGTAGATTAGTACTACAGTGCTGCATTGTACCATAACAGAATATCATGTGTTTTACATGTAAAAAGTAACTCTTGAGTGTTAAATAAATGTAGTGGAGTAAAAAGTATGAGATTTGCCTCTGAAAAGTATAAAGTAGCATTAAATGGAAGTACTCAAGCTAAGTACAAATATTTCAAAAAAGTTCTTATTAAGTTAACCTTTTAATAATTAAGTAACCTTAAAGGTCACCTATCATGCTATTTTTAGGCAATAGCATAGGTCTCAGATATATACAAATATATAAAAAAACATGCCTATGAAGTGTTTTGCTCAAAATACCAAACAGATATCCATTCTAGCCATGCCTCATATCTCTCTATTTCACTCCCTTTTTCAAAAGTGCTGATTTTATGGTCAGTTGTCTTTTTTCATCAACAATTGAGGTTTTTTATTAATATTTGTAGTTTTCTATTTTTTATTTATTTAGGAAATGTTCCTTCTGTAGTTTTTCCATATTGAATACTAGGAAGATTGCTGACATCCTCTTGGATTCATCTTCTTATTATAGACACATGCATTTCCAAACATTTGGACTACCTATGTTGTTAATGTATTATCTTTTCGATTTACACACGGCATCTATTGCACGTCTGTCCGTCCTGGGAGAGGGATCCCTCTGTTGCTCTCTCTGAGGTTTCTCCCATGTTCCCCTTTAAACTGTGGGTTTTTCTCTGGAAGTTTTTCCTTGTACGATGTGAGGGTCTAAGGACAGAGGGTGTCGTATTGTCATACTGATATTCTGTACAAACTGTGAAGTCCACTGAGACAAATGTAACATTTGTGATATTGGGCCATATAAAATAAACATTGATTGATTGATTGATTGATTGATTGATTGGTTGATTGATTGATTGGTTGATTGATTGATTGATTGATTGATTGGTAGGAATAACGTTCAGGGTTTTCAGATTTTATTGTAGAATGAAAACAATTCTTTGGTTTCTAAAACGGAAATATTCCCCAAATAAATGGAACCCCTCAATGACCCTGATGATTTCTTAACACTTAACAGGCTCTATTTCTTCTCATAATTACTGTGCAGTGAACAGTATTAATCCGTCTCTGCTCTGTGTTGTCTGTTGTGAACTGAAGGAGATTCTGGGCTTCAAGAACCTTCAGGTGTGTATGAAGGAAGCTGCCCTGCTGGATTACTATGTGTGTGGCTTCTGGTGGGCGAGGGAGGCTAACTTCACCCCCCCACAGACCTCGTTCACCATGGCTGTGCTGCACATGCTGCTGGAGAACATCAGAGGTGAGGAGGACAGACAGACAAAAGAGATGATAGGCTAACAATATGTCTAATGCACCACATTCTAGTTTAGGACAAATAATCTGCGACCATATTATGGTTAGTTCAAAGTCAGCTGCACAATTAGGACTTGTTCCTTATTAAAATCTTCATTCATATATTGTAATTTACTTAATGTGGCATTAAAGCAGAAAAAAGAAGCTATGTGCATTACAAATATGCCTATCCTATAAAATATATCAGAACTGCAGCACTAATCTGTGCTTATGATCATATAAGCAGATGTCTTTGGTGGAGAACCTGATGGAGTTTGCTCAGGCTGCAGGTGCTGCCAGCCAATGCTCAACTTCTGAGGAAGGCACCACACCACTTCTGAACAGAGAAGAAGCCACTGCACTCATGAGTTACATCAGAAACAGTTCAGTGGAATCGTTATACTTGCTCTAACATTCACAGATGAAATATAGATATGGAAGATTTTAAGCTTTGAGTGTAAATCGTTCAGAATCACTGGAAAGGTTACAAATGCAAACCTAATTTAAATCCCATCCAGCATGAGTTTCCTGTGATGACATACAACGTGTCCTTTCGTTTTAACCATGCAGGTCCCATGTGGGCTATGGTAGTGTACACTAGTCTACATTAATCAATAAATATATGTCCCAGTTTTGGATACAAGGACCCCATTTTCCCCCTTAATAGCCAAATCAATATACTGTGGTCACAAAAAGAGGTCAACTAGTAACCCACATTACTTTGAACACACAGGTGACACACACTAGGCAGGACTAGGCAGTTTTAGTTGTTTTCATATTTTGTTTCAAGACATAAAATACGTCAGTGAATACCAGTTTATGTCTGAAGCTGAACATTATTCGCTTTTACCTTAAAAGTAAAGTAATTTGACCTTGATGTAGTTCCTTTAAAGCCGAACATTAGCTACTAGTTTCTGCTGTTTGCAAACTTTCATGAAGTGGTGTAAATAGGTGGAGATAATCCGGCTGAACACAAGGTGTAAGTGTCATAAACGTTTTCCATAGATCTGATTCTCTGCAATACTCAATAATATAATGGAAAAATCCCACTGCTTTTAGTCGAGGGAGTCGTCGTGATGCTAACTTCCTGGTCGACCTACAAAAAAAACACTAAACCACTCAGACACATCTTATGCTACACTGTCACTGAAAATAACGGGTTAAAATCCAATAGTGTTTGGATAAATTGTAGAATCTGATCATTACATCAGGAACATATTTATAGGTTTATGATGTTTTTATGGTTCTTTTATAAATACTTAAAATAATGTTTCAGTAAATAAAAAGTATTAATTCACAACACTGCAAACTCAGTGGTTTAATAACCTTTTATGTTCATTATATTTATGAATAGAGGATGAGCCTTCACATTAATGGATAAAAGGTCATTCTGTAATACATACTGGAAGCTGCATACTTGAAATTATAGCAGGTGTACGGTGGTTTTATTGTATCATTCCAGATATTTGATGTTAGTGGAATAGCTCTGTGTTCCCCTTGGCTGAAGTGTTTAATAATTAAAGTGACACTCCTGACCCTGTGTATTCTGTTTTCTGCAGTTTGTTTCAGAAATACACACTCTACCAGCTTCTCTTCACCTCAGCCAGAGAGGAGCTCCTCTCAGGCCTGGAGGTGAGGCTGTGTGTGACGTGTGTGTGTTTGTGTTAGTGTGTGTTTCCATGTCTATATGCATATAAATCATATTTGAAATATGCTGTTTTCCAAAGGAACATTGAAGTGTTCAGCTGTCAGGACGGTTTCACCCCGATGGAGGAAGGTGTCCCTTCTCACCTCCTCTCCCAATAAATGGCTCTGTGACATTATCTGAGATAATGATGGACAGATGGCATAAGCAATCCTCATCACACCTGCTCTTTGTTCTCAGTTTTGATCTGTTTTACATAATCCACATCGTCTCACATAATATAATTACTATTTATTTGTTATGAACTAGGCTCACTGGTATGCAACAATGACACAGAAGGTTTTACATGGTAAGGTCTGCCCTTCACTTTTACCGGTGACCTGTGTACAAAAAATGTAAACAACCCTCTTTTAAAATACATATTGCTTCATGTTGTCCGTCATGACTAATGAGGCATTGCACAGTGACTTATGCTTTCCTTTGTGTCTGTAGTAAAAACATCAAACGTTCTTCTACTGTAGAACATAAGAAAACTTACTTAAAGAGTATTTTCTACTATACAGCATTTCATATACAAAAAAAAAGTTATACTCTATAAGTGCTTTTTAACTGAGTAATAACCCAAAAGAAGTCAAACGTATAACATGCAAACATTTACATAAAACAAAATTGGTAGGGGAATCTAAGAAAAAGAAAAGAAAAAAGGCAAAAATAAATTCCTCATTTATTATTATTTA